AAACTGTTCTTTTCCCTTCCAGTAAAATGTAAATATGTTGGACACTGAATAAAAAGTCTACCAATAGTGGTTGCAATTCGAGTTGGAAAATGCTGAATATAAAAACAAATGTGGTTTTCAGTAAAGATAAACTTCCAAAAGTCTAATCATTGAAAGATCGACTCTTTTAAATATAAATTATAAATCTCATTCAAGAGGGACCAAGAAATACACCTTACCTTTCTAATACTTAGTACATTTAAAGTTAAACTTAATACTTTCCTCAAAGTATGGACAAGCAAATTACTTCTGGCTTCATAAGCAAGGAAGAGTTATTTAAATCAAACAAAAGACAAGAATCTTGACAAGACTCATAGCCAATCAGCTAAAACAAAATTTCTACTTTGATGCTAGATGTTCCTCAGCAGCAATAAATTACATGAAAATGAGATTTTGGTTTACCTGAAGGCTAAGTCTAAAAGTAAATATGAACTTGGATTTTTTTCCAAATAGTATGATGAAAATCTTTTAATAAAATGTTAAATTGAAAAATAAAACAATATAAAAACATGTAGAAACTGGGTAGTAGAGTAACCAGGTATCAGTTCTATTGTTGTACTTATACCTTATATATATTATATAAAATCTGTCTAACTAATATTTAGTAAAAACAAATGGTAGACAGTGTATAAGTGCGTACACGTGCAAGCACGTATGTGTATTTGTTGTGGGGATATCTATTTGTGTGTTTGTGTGTGCGCACCAAAAATGTGTCCTTCATGGTTCTCTGTATTACATCTTCCTTGAAGAATTATGATATATCCACACCATATTATTTGTTGACATCCTGTTCTGTTCCACAACTGCTTTTCCTTGTAAGCCTTAGGAAAGATCTTTGGGAAAGCAGACAGAAAAGAAAGCTCTATCTTAAAAGTTACTAAAAAAAAAAAAAAAGAAAGAAAGAAATAAAGGAGAGAGAGAGAGAGAGATGGGATAACATGGAACCACTGGTCACCTTGCTTCAACGTTATTTGCATCTTTTCCTACAAAAAAAAAATCCACCTAACCTAAAATTACCATATATAAGACACAAGACATTTCTGCAAATATAGGGTATACTTTCACATAGCATATAACTCCCAAGGAGATAGTTCATAAAAACTAGATTAATAGATCAAGTAGAAATGGCAGCTAATAGTCACGGCATACATGACAATATGGCTTAATACAGTGCTAATGTCACAAATGTCTAAATACTATACCCAAATGACCTTTGAAATGAAATAGGCTCCCGATAGCCTCAGTGTTTAAGCATCTGCAGATTTTGAGGACCACTAACCTATCCACTCTATTCTCAAGACTGCCAGCACTTAATTTAGGGCAGCTTTCCTGGTGTTGCCTGTGAAGGAGGTTGAGAGATTTCCAACCCTTTTCAGAGTAGAATTTAGTTATTTTCTTGAATACATGCATGGTGTTTCCTGAGACATCATAGTTGTCACGTATGCAATTTCTCTTTAAACAACTGTGTATTACCCTTCACCTCATTCTCTAAAACCTCAGCCACAGCACTCATGTGCTAACTCAGAAAATAGTTATCTGGAGCAAGTTATCTACCAGGCACTGTACCAGGTAGTGGAGGTGACTAAAAAAGGCTCTATTTTGTCCATCTCCTTATGCATCTTAGACTCTGTCATATTCCACACCCTCACACTTCACCCCTCTCCCCTCTCTTCAATTCCCACTGAAAGGCAAGTTTGGCAGCTGGTTCCAAATTCATACTAGGCTCACAGAATTTATTTTTACACAGGATTAGAAATCACCATGTGGTTTTTTTCCCCATCAATTAAGTCTCACCCACTCCTTCACTCCCAAGGCAAACTATTTTTTTTATATATTCAAAGCTGAGAACAAACAATTGGAATATGACATCAACATGACTCTTAAGTTGCAAAAAGACAAAATTACTCGTCTAAAGAAGAAAAAAAAAAGCAATCCAAAAGTCTGGCGATATTTCTTTCATACTCAATACCAGACTTTGAATATAGTAGAATGAGTTCCTCTATTTTAAGTTCATATTTTCAGACTTTTAATTTACAAACAGTTGGACAAGACATTTAATTTTATTTTGTCTTGTTTAGGTTTTCATTCTCGACTAGAGCCAGCCCTGAGTCTTTAACAACGGGGCAGCAACTGTTTTTCACTTCCTTCTCACCCCATCCTCACTGAGCACCTATCCCCTATTGAACACTCATCCCTATTGAGCACCATCATGTGCTGGGCATTATTCAAACCACATAGCTTCTCGTGGACCTTGTATTTCTGTAAGGGAAATACAGACAAATAAAAATGTAAATTATACACTCTGTTGGAAGATGGTAAGTGCTGTAGAGAAAACTGAGAGCAGGAAAGGAGAATGCGGAATTCTAGGGATGGAGAAAAGGTTATAGTGGTTAAGTTCATTCTTCCCAAAAAGGAAACGTCTAAAGCAAGACTGAAGGAGGAGGGTGCAATGTGGATATCTGGAGAAAGACTGTTCCAGGCAAAGGGAATAGGACATGCAAAGGCTCTGAGATAAAAGGGTGCCTGATACCTTTGAGAAACAGTAAGAAAGCCAGTATGGGTGGGAGTTATGGATGAGTATGGTGGAGGATGAGGTCCAAGAGGCAGAGGAAGAGGCAGAACAAAGGGGCCCCCATATTTGTCAAATTAGTAATAATAAACAGAAGTGAATAATAAGATACTCGGCTTTTATTGAGCTCTTACTGTGTGTGAAGTGCAATACCAGATGGGTTATGTGTATTATCTCCTTCAAAATGCAAAACAATTTGTTGCTCTCATATGTAGACTTTATGCTTTAGACATATATACCAGGAAGTCTAAAACTCTATAGTAAATATTTCCCTGAAAAAGTTTTTTTCTGACCTACCATGACGAAAATCTTTGCCAAATGCTGCAACTAATTTAACTTCTTTATGCATTTTAAAAATAAAGACATAATTCCTTATAAATGTCAGATGTCTTGCTTATTTTCATGTTATGGTTTTTTATTTGAATTTCAAGTCTGTTTCAGTACCACAAGGTTAATTTATGCAACAAAAAGTTAATAAATACAGTTTGAGACACTAGTCAGAGTTCAAATCCTGCTGTAATAACATCCTTTGATTTGTTTAATAAGTACTTTAACATAACATCTTTTCTGAAATATATAACTTAATATGCGAGTGTTACAAATTATGTCTGCTAGAGCCAAAAGATACAATACATATTGTTCTTCTGGCACGTTCCCCTCTTTCTGCTATACTTTCATTTAAAAGGCATCCTTACTATAGAAATAAGCAGGCCAAGAGAGCTGGGCTTCCTAAACAAAATTAATTAGTGGAAGCACCAGATGTACCTCCAGAAAAAATTTCGGTAGATTTTTTATTACTTAGTTTCCACGAATTAGGAAATAATTTGAAAATACTTCCTAAACACAAAGAGATTGCCCAGTTCAACCCAAGAAACACAGAAATTTACAGTCTACAGGGTTGAATCTCAGACCTTGGAGATGAAGGAAAGTCTTGGGCAAATAAATGCACACACTGATGCAGAAGGTATCAGAATAAACTTGTGCTTACTTTTTTAAAAGCCACTCACCCAAAACAGCAATCAGTTGTCCCATGTCTAACCAAATATAAAGGAATGATGACTTGAAAACAGACCTTCTAACAGTCTAATATTTAATTGACTATGACACAGATGGTAGCACATTATCATAACCCTAACATAAAATGTTTCTACCATTTTAAAGCTGATTTGAGTCAGAATTAGGTAGGTTGGAATATGTGCTTTTGAAAAAGCACATATTCCCAGGCCCCACCCATTGAAAATCTGATTCACAAGATGGGGCTGGGGCTTTATAAAGCTTCTGGAGAGAATGGTGATCTGGCAGGTTGGGGAGGCAAGAAGCACCAGACTAAGCTGACTCCAAGAACAATGAAGGTAAAGTGTAAAAATGATGTCTTCTCAGCAAAAACAGACTGTATGCTAAGGTGGCCCTCTCAACTTCTAAACATCGAGAGCACTAATATCATTTGCGATACCATCCAACTACATCGCCAGCAGCACATCTCAAGACTAAAATGGGTGTGCATGCTTCGATTTATGGAAACTTGAAAAATAAGTGATTAAGGGCTAATTAAGAAAATCACAAATGTGAGAAATACTCAAAAATCATTGACTATGCCTTTTCACTCAGAACTGGAGTTCCTAGATTTTTCTCAGTAAATGTCCCCAATCTAAGTATTATTTTTCTTGTGATTGAAGACCTATGTTAAGATTGTGATTGAAGACCTATGTTAAGATGTTTTCTTAACATCTTAAATATATAGGATGTTTCATGAAAACTCAAATGACAGTAACTTCTTCCATCTGCAATAGTCAACTGCAATAGTCTCAAATTTGAAGCCCGTTAAAAATCTAAGCTTGCTGTGAAATAACCGCTCATCAAAGCACCCAGTTAACAGCCTGGACGACCATTCAGGATGATCAGAACATCTAAAACTTCACTTGGAAAGATGGGTGACAGCTTTGGTCAGATCAGAACAGGGACACAATATTGGACTGATTCACAGATGTGCAGCGTTAAAGGTACATCTTCAAATAGGTACTTGAGAAACATTTTTTAAATGCTTAAAACGCCCATGATCAAAATTTCACATATTTAATAAAAACATACATAGTTATTAAAATTTTATGAGATGCCTACTAGCATGCTACTACAGTGACAAGACATATCTTGTCTAAGTTTTAGCCTTTTTTAAAAAACAAATTGGTATGCAAGCAAACTTAGTAACCACTACCAACAACTTGAGTAGCAATATTTCAGACAGGGACTAGATACATGGTTCAGTGAAAGAAATGCTAGCATTTGGTTAAGTTTTGATTCTTATATTATTAGAAAACATGGGGAGAAGGAGCTGTCAAAATATTCTGGATAGATTCACTGATATTAAATAACCACTGTTGCATAGGGGCAGAAGTAGGGGAGGAGAGGAACAAGAACTGAAAAAAAAATCGGCAGAAAGCTGCCCCTTGCCATCAATAAAGAACTAATTAATAAGGATTTGCCTAAGCTGGTAAACGTTTTCCTGCTTCAATCTGGTGGAAATGCAGAGGTAAACTCGGTTGTGGGTTAATTAGGTCCAACTTGAAGCCAAGGACCAGGTCCAGATAAAGATCAGCCTGGTAGAGAGTCGACTCGTTCGAATACCCAAGAAGGAGCCGAGCCACCTAAATCCAACTCCGGGCGCAGGCCCTGGGGAGAGACAGCGCGGTGGGGCCAACCTCGGGGAAACATTTCCGACCATTCCTTACGAGCCGCAAACGCACACGCTGGGATTCCAGCCGCGCAGGCAGGAGAGGCGGCTGGGAGGGCCCGACCGCCCAATCGCTGGGCAGCTCGGTCGAAAGAGAGCTGGAGAGAAGCGTCTTCGCTCGAGACTCTTCCCGAAGGCGGCCGGGGTGGTCCACTCGTGACCCCTGGGCCATGTCACTTCGTACGGGGCCGACAAAGTCAGGAAGTCTGGAAACTAAGTGAGGAGGGCTGCGAAGAGGTAAAGTGGGAAGGCGCCAGGTTGATTCTCTTGTTTGAGGGGCAAAGAGGAGTTTGGTGGGGGAGCGATCGGAATGCAGTAACTTATTTTATACTCGAGCCGCCGTCGGCAGGACAGGGCAGGACTCTGCGGGGTGCAGGCTGCAACCCCGACTTCCTCCCGCGCTCGATCGCTCCAGGCCCAGCCCGCCG